TTCATGCAGCTTCTGAAGAAATTAAGAAAAAATTAAGTGACATATTTGGGAAACTAACACGATGAGGCAAAAAGTTATATGAATATCAATTGAATTGATCATCGAAATAATGAACAGGTATTTTTAACATTATCTTGAACTCATTTACTCTTAATTTTTTACTGACTTCTTACCCGATAAGTAAAGCTTACCAGGAAATATAAGTTCTGAAACCTATTGGAAAAAGCAGCGGCGCCATAGAAGAAAGCTTCCACCAAATTTTATTTTTCTAACAACTTATCAGAAAGATGTCAGTCAATTTCGAGGTGCGTTTTTAAAGTAAGAACCAATTGCGCATCCTGTAACGTGAAGACCGTTAAATCTCGGACACTCTTGGCCAGTCTCTCACTACGCCGCTATAAAAAACTCATGATCAATTAGTTTGGTTGGAGAATATCAATTAGGTCTATCCTTCGAGTATATTCAACCAAATTGGGTCACAGAAAAACTAGAAAGACAATTATTGTTAAATTTATATAGGCTGATTCTTTTACATGCCTTATGTAATTGTTATCATCTTGGTATAGTATTGAGTCTTCATTCCATTTTATACTTTGTCCTATTTCCCATCCGTGTTCGCTTAGTGCTAATTTTGAGGTTGCAACATTTTGGCCGAAGATTGCATAACAATTAACCAGTGTGTTACGACAACAGTGCTGGGTTGGTTTTCGCATTCTTTTGGGGGGCTTTTGGCGTCTTCGGGACTATGGACGAGGGTAACGTATCTGGAATGAAAAAAAAACGACAAAAAACTCCTGCTCGCTTGTCGTTTTGCAGGGCTGGAGGGAGTGGCTACCCCCACGCGGTCTTGGGCTCTGCTGGTTTTGCGTGGCGCCATCTTAAAATTTGGAATGATCGTTTCGCCCAATCTCAGCATGTTGGAAGATCTCTCACACCAGTGTAGTAACACACTGTGTAGGGATATGAAAATGAAAGAAAAAACTAAGAAAGTGTCACTTGTGATACAATTTACATTCTATTACAAAACGGTTCTTACTTAAAAAATGACCCTCGTATAAACCGTTACTTCAATGCTACTTCTTTTTAGGAAAATAACTGTGGCATGCTGGTGGATTATAGATTTTCGATTGTACAAACGAATCCAGAATTGTGAAACGACTTGATTTTTCTTCACCTGATACAATTAATCTGAGAAGTGACGGCTGAGGTTTTCTAGGGGTTTCCCTCGCCCAAGTGCGAATGCAGTCACCAGAAACCATATTCCCCTAATGAGAGAAGATGAAAATCAAAGTTATCCTATTAATGATCATGTAATTTAAGATCAAATAGTTATTGAATATATTTATATAGTAAATGTTCTTTTTTCATAAAAGCCTATTAAAGCCCTATGTCATCACCTGTCAATGACCGTATCCAGGATCCCGCCACACAAATTCCGCTCATTCTGCCACCCTAAATAGACTAAATTCACATGACCGGATTCCAGACACAGCCACCGACAGGTCACCAACTATCAGCGTTGCCAACCCTATCCGAGAGAATAACTGTATGTGAGCTTTAAAAAAAAACTGTAGATAACTGTAGAATATTATTTAAAAAACTGAATGTACAGCCCTCCATTTACAGTATTTTTCACGAGTACCTATTGCGGACCAAGGTCACAAAGTGACAGTTTTTGCATTGCTTAAGCATTCTTGAGCGGTTGTGGTTCTGGTTGGCTTTGAGTGACATGGAAATGACAGGACTCCCAATCATATTTTTCCAAATTCACTCAAGGCTTAACCAGAACCACAACCACTCAAAAAGGATTTGTTTTTTTTTCATGCATGATCAGCTGTCCTTTTTTGGACATTGTTCCGCTATACAGAGTCCGGTAAATGATACGACAAAAAAATGGGGAAAGTATGCGAAAGGCAGATCTACAACATACCAAATGACCCTAGTAAGAGTTTCACTACTTTTGAGATATAATTTTTTTTCTTTTTCCAATTTTCTAAGAACGGTAGCATTATTTTACCTTCCTGAAGTCCTGATTAAGCAGCTAATTTATCGCAGTACTTTGCAGTAGCACTCTAGTACATTTTTATTTCATTGCTGAATACCAAAGATGAGTAAAATAGTTTTCTATAATCAAAACTTCGAAGAAGAAATCAGTTTGTCAAGTTTACCTACTTGTACTTATCGAAAATGATATTTCGAATAGCGTACCAACTATCCGGGAATATTTTGCAAAAAACCAAACAGATATCCTGTTATTCCTGGGCACAGCAACAAAAGATAGATTTAAAGAGGAAAATTTTCGAACAAGACAAAAAAATTAATATCTCAAAAACAGTGAAACTTTTACTAGGGCCATTGTTTGGTATGTTGTAGATCTGCCCTTCGCCTATCGTCCCTATTTTTTGTCGTACTATTTACCGGACACCCTGTAGATACTGCGAAAGGAATTTGATTCAAAGTAAATTTTATGTATAATTTGATCTGGCAAGTGGTAGATTTTACTAAGGCCAAGTTATTATATGGATTTCCGACTTCGTAGTAAACAAAACAGAAGGAAAACTGTAGAATTGAGGGCCCGAACTGGAAACATGAAAGATTTTTGAAAAACTGTAAATCTGGAATTAAAACTGTACGGTCGGCAACCCTGTACGAACAAACCGATAACTGGGAATTTATAAAAGTGTTCAGAGTCATTAACGTTCTACTGCATAGATGCTGGGAGAGTTGTGGTAGTATTTTTTATTACGAGTGGTCTTGGCATTTTCGGACTGAATGGGCCCCAGATTCGGATGCCGCGACCCAAAAAACGTTGTAGGGCTCGCGCTCCCGACTGACCATTTTTTGCAGCTTTGCACTATATAGTATATAGTAAAAATTAAAATGCAGTTCAAATGATCTCTATCGTACAAAATTGCAAAACTATACGTTTTTGCAACTTTTGGATGCTAAAAATCCATTTTTCCTATCAATGGCTATCGAAGCTTTGTATAACAAGGTAATTTGGGGCGCTGAATACAGGGTGATTCACAAGTCGTGACTAAAAATGAAACGCCATACACAGGACTGTATTTTAAGGGGGTCTTCTATGTAACATTTTTCCCTCTAGGACTTCATTAAAAAGATACTTGGTGTTGAAGTTTAAAAATAAAAAACAATTGTTTCAATATCTTCAAAACCGTCAACTGGATGAACTAAAATTTTATATGTGGATTTAACCTACGTATTGTCAACATTCAAAAGTCTCTACTTAAAATTGACGTGCACCAGTGGCGTAGATACAGGGGTTAAGTGTCATTATTTTTCCAAATAAAAATAGTACGCCACTCTTTTCCTTTCGAAACGCGCAATTTTTCGAATTTTACCTTCAATTTGTCACAAAGAATTATTCTTCTGTTTTTTTTTCTAGAGTGCATTGTTCATCATCTAATACATTTTCTATGTAATTCTCTAGAGTTTGTATTTAAACGTTGTGGCAATACGTGCATAAATAGTTGGCCATTGAAAATGCCGGACCAGAGATTTCAAGCGATTCATCTGACCACAAAATCAAATCACTATAAACTGCATTTTGATTATGCACTTGCAGTAACGTTAATGCTAAGTAAAGACTTTTAAATGTGGACAATACTTAGGTATATCCATATCCACATACCAAATTCTAGTTCATTCCAGTTGACGGTTTTGGAAGTATTAAAAAATTGTTTTTTTGCCTTTAAACTTCAACAATCCGTATATTTTTAACCCTGGAATCCTAACCAACGTAAATTTTACGTCGCTAACATTTTTTTGCGCGAGTTTATCGTCGCAGTACAACTATTTCTATTTACATAGAAGACCCCCTTAAAATGCGATCCTGTGTATAATTTTTGATTTTTAGTTACGACTTGTGAATTACCCTGTATAAGTATCACAGTGAAAAAATTCGTAAGTGCCATCGGTCCCGATTTGGGATGAAAAATCGGTAATGGATCCTAGAGCTGATTCAGAATATGTATAAGCACCCGATTTACCTAGAAAACAAGCTGCCAGAGCTGGAGATTTTTTATAAGAAGTTTTTAGCGACACAAAAAACGTACCTATTATAGAATGGTTGAGCGCGCCGGACAGACCTATTTTTGCAGTACTTCAAATTCTAAGAAAATACGTCGGTGATATTATTAAATTCGATGCCTTGCCGCAACAAACATTACAGAACGCAACCAACATTGCAGAGAGTATGTTTTGTAAAAATGCTAGAGCTAGTGACAGTGGCGGACCGCAACCAACATTACAAAGCGCAGCCAACATCGCAGAACGCAACCAACATTACAGATAGTAATTTTTGTACATGCTAGAGCTAGTGACAGTGGCGGACCACAACGAACATCACAGAACGCAACCAACATTACAAAGAGTATGTTTCGTAAATGCTAGAGCTAGTGACAGTGGCAGACCGTAACGAGCATTACAAGAGCGCAACCAACATCACTGAACGCAACCAACATTACGGATAGTATGTTTTGTAAATGCTAGAGCTAGTGACAGTGGCGGACCGCAACCAACATTACGGAGCGCAACCAACATTTCAAAGAGTAGGTTTTGTAAATGCTAGAGCTAGTAACAGCGGCGGACTACAGTGATGGCATAAACCAGCAGAAAAAATACTAATGCCCAGGAGACTTAGAAATAAAACGCATTGCTTCTATCATTGCTTGGCAATATGTTTAAAACTTTCTCTGTATGTTTAAAACCCAAAATTATTTCATTGAAAACTCAAAAGCTTGGAAGCGCCTTACGAGTTAGAATTATTACGTTGGCCATATAATGTAAACAATCCTCGCTTTGCACTTAGGTATGTACCTATCTGTGTCCCACATGAACATTTTTATTTTCGTTGGCAAAACAAGTTATAAATAAATCATTCTCATTTTATATTTCCAACTATTTTTAGTAACATTTTTGTTGACGGTTGGAGGTACCAGTTGTATTTTTAGTGACTTTTTCTCCGTTGCGTTGGTGACATTCATTACGTCTACTTCGCAAAAGGTTGATTAGCGTTTGTCAACAATTTTTTTACAGGATTTTTAGGAAAATTACCCCCAAAGACCCATAATAATTGTGATATTTCCTGTGAATTCGATGCGATACGGTTTGTTAATATAGTGAAAATGATTGTGGAGCACGTAGAAGCTTTCAAGACGTGGCTAACAGCTGTTTTGAAACCTATGTAAGTGGGCCCTTAAAATTTAGGAATTGTGTAACGAACCCATTAAATAAGCACTACATATCATATACTCGTATCTAAACTGCATTTGGACGCATTATTATAAAATTACCCCACACACGTTCTTAAAACTTGTTCATATAACCTCAAATTTGGGCGTCTTCATAAGGTGGCCAAAATTAATAAATTAGGGGGAAAATGGAAACTTCAGGCAAATACTGTCGAAAGGCATGCTAAAGTCGTTTTCCTGGAGTCTAACAACACAATTCTCAATAGATACCCAAAAATATCAGTCGTTTCAGTATGGATCGCGAATAGTTGGTTTTGTTCAAATTTATAAGCATTTCCTACATTCAGTTTCACAAATAAGCACACTATTAGAGAATATTTCACTCATCTAATAACTATTTGATCTTTTAAGAATTACTAGAGTACTGTTACTCATAGAAGATCCAGATTACAGTGTTTTTTCAATTAAAACTTGTAGAGAATAGTCTTAGATCATTTTAAACCCAACATTTTTTTCAAAATACTGTATTTACACATACACTCGAAAATGCAATAAGTTCTTATAAAAAACTTTGTGACAACCTATAGACCCATATAGGTCCTAAAAGTGTTCCACTCAATTTCTAAAAATATAACAAATTGGTACCCCACATGAGAAAAATTGTGTTATTTTTGTAGAATTTATAATTATAGTGGATCCAATATCTCTGATATAGTATTTCTGATAAGAAATCCCTGCATATCATTACAGATCATTGAATCAAGTTTGTATGTTCCCAATTTTTTGGATATTGTGATGGTTGTGAGCAGATAGGAACAATATTGAAACAAAACTGTTGGTGTGAAAATGTACATTGTGTACCTAAAGGATCAGAATTACAAATATTTCAGGATTATACAGGATGAAAAAACTTGCATCTTGCATTAGAACTACTACTTAGTCTATCCCTTTATATCTGAAAGAAATATAGCTATGAACACCGCCATATGAAGCCCTAATTAGCTACTACCATTTTGCAATAACACAATGTCTTTCAGGAGTTGAAGAACAATTTTCAATGCTATATTTTCAGGACTCATATCTTCATGGAGAACTTCTTTACAAACTATACTCACACTATTTTACTCAATAAGAGTGTTTATAGGTTTTTAATTTAATTTAGCGTCAATATTTATATTTTTGTAATTAATATATAGTACATCTTAATGTATTTGTATAGGTGTGAGGCAGATCCAGCAGCTCTAGCAAAATATGTTTTGGCACTGATCAAGAAAGACAAGACTGAAGATGAGCTGAAGAAGAGCATGATTGCACAGCTAGATGTGTTTCTAGAAGCAGGTACAGTTTCATTATTTACATATTGATTTTAAATATTTTGAGTCATGCTCTATGATAGTTATTGATATTCCATATAATAGCATCTTTTTATCCTTATTTCTTTGAATCAATTCTATATCTAAACATATATCTTATGCCATCTGAAGAATAATTAATATGTGTTACATATGTATAATTTAATGTGGTTGAAATTACATTTGAACAGATTTATGATTAGACAAGCAACTTATTTCTTAGCTTTTAACAGTTGTCTTGACTTAATTCAATGTTTTTTTTTTCAGAAACTGAGTCCTTTGTGGACCTAGTATTTCAAACTTTAGCTACAAAAGATTATGTGAATGTACCAATAGTCCCCAATGCAAATCCTCCAAATCCTAACATGGGCAAGGTGAAGGAACCTGTCAAAGAATCCAAGGTTATCATACAGCCCAGTGAGTTGCCTAATCTTAATGAAGCAGTCAATGGAAATGCAAAGAAGGAGCAGGAAATTAAAAGGGATAGGGAAAATCGATTAGAAAATAGGAAAAATTCAGATTCGGTAAGGATAATTAAATATAGTTCCTCATTTTCTCTCTAAATGTACGTGCCCATCAGTCCACATCGGGCTATTTGTACCAAGGAAATCTATATTTGGTAGTGCATCCAGTGTATCCACTTAGATAAGATTATGACGCAATCTTATTTATAATAATAATGATAAAATGTCTTTATTGGAATCACAACAGGGTGAGATTAAGCCAGTTGGCTACTCTTACACTCAACCCTACTGAGTGAACTAATAAAAAGAGAAAAAACTTATTCAATTGACAAATCCACACTATGTTGGCTTGCCAAAAAGGAACCAAATGAGAAATAATGAATGGAAGAAAACAAAAAAAAAAACAATGGAAAGATCATAATATCTAATCACAACAGCTGATCTTTAACCAGCTTCCTGAATGTTACAACACTTTTGCTTCTCCAGGCAGGGTCAGTTAGGTTGTACAATGTCACTGCCATAAAAGTGAAACAATGCAGTGTAGCGCAGAGGCATTGTGAGGTTATTATTATGCCTCAGATCTCTAAGATTTATGATTCCTAGTTATCAATTTACTATGGAGATAAATAGGCTTTTTAGAACCTATTATTCAATTGTACAAATACATTAAGATTACATTCAAATTGTTGATCCATTTCCAGCCATTTCAACTCCTTTCTCTGAGAGGTGACATCACTATATTTTCAAAACCATACACAAGCCTACAGCAGTTGTTTTGCATTCTTTGGGTTCCACACCAATTCATCGAGTCAAGACAGGTGTGATATAAAATTAAGGCATAGTTAAGGCTGGACATTTTGAAACTTTCAACTAGCTTCTTACGGGATTTAAAGTTCAAAATGAATCTGTTAGCATATACTAGTCTTATTTGATGTACACGCTTTTCAAACGACTCACATATTTGACAAGTTGAAAATGATACCAAGATTTTTTACTTGTTCCATGATAGGAATGAGCTCATTGTTGATGGTCAATGCAATCCTGTCCCTTACTCTATGGAACATACTGGACAAACAAATGTCAGATTTATATCGGCCACTCTATAATTTCAAGTCATTTTTTTCCTTCAAGCTGATGAAGTTAGAAGAAGAATTGTCACACTTGACAAGGAGAACATTCTCTCCAAAGAAGAAGTTCAACGTCTTCAATTGATGGGCAGGAAGCTACATCAGAAACTCCAGAGACGCGACGCTAAAATCGCCATGTTAGAAGAAGAAAAAGTCGGCCAAGTTATGAAACAGGCGGAACTACAAAATGTTGTCTCCAATCTGCACAACGTAATAGACGAGAAAGATTTGAAACTGAATCAAAACAAGCTGGATAAAGAGAAAACTAAACAAAGGTTGGCAGTGCATAGTGAAAAGATGAATAAGGAACTAGATGAAAAATTACGTAGACAACGAGAACACCTTGCCGCGAGTATGAAGGCCAAAGAAATTCAACTGCAGAAAGTGAGGGAAGCCTTGAATGCAGAGGTAATCAAATAAAATAATGATCCCAATTAATTCCATGGTTGCTTAAATACAACATCAATTGTTATTGTTGATATTTATGATCATAATTTTCGAAAAAGTCTTTTCCCTTGTTCTTTTTTTTGTGTGGTCCAGGGATATGCAATTAAGTGGACTTTTTTTCTTGAAAACCACGCATCATGATTGAGGAACATTCCCAAAGGCAACTTGTTTTTTTAAACGTGATGTTTTTGAAGAGAAGAGGAAAATCATCGTAACAGTTCGTCCATTTCGCGCTGCAAAATCCTTGCTATTTTTTGTAAAGACCAACAGGTTCAGTGTCGACTTTTTCCTCCATATTTGCGACATTTATTGCTAATGTAATGAGTGATGGCCATCTGCATCATATGTCTTATCTTTTGAGTTTTCAGCAAGTACAAATAAAACTAACATTCATTTCCTTAGGTCATTGTTAGACCAGAAAATATGGATGTTGATACTATCTTTGATAAAGGAGATAAAACACCATCGGCCACAATTGAGAACCATTTGCCCACTTCATGTCCGCCTAAAAGAGTTGGATATAATGGCACTCCATATCACAGAAGACGTTCGCGATCTGCAGGTATTTTTGAAATCTACTATTTTTTAGCTCCGTGGTTAGCAACAAAAAAAATATTTCTACGAAAAATCTGCGTCCAAAAAGTGTATTCTGAGTAGTTCCACCTTTTTCTATAAACGAAAAGTGACCAAACTTACCTCCATAGTTGATATGTAATAAGTTCTAGCAAAACATAATACGTATTTACATACCCTGTTATTATAATGTGATCCTACTTCTGCTATTTAATTTAAGCTTCTGTCAGTTATGAGAAAAATGGCTTTTTCTCTGATGTTGATAGTTTGAAAAGTATGGTCACATTCTATCAGTATCTGGAACAATCCTTAAATCAAAGTTGCAACCAACTTTATTCAAGAATAAAAATCAAATTTTACTGGTTGATTCTCCCAGCGGGCAATACCGAGCATTTGAGTTCTATTTAAAAACACGAGGATAAACAGCATCAACTTTTGAAAAACGCATCAAGTAGAATGTCTTTGTACGCAACGCTGTCATCAGTTCAAAAAACTATATTCTGTACAAGTTAGCGCTTCTTAAAAAAGTTATCCATAAACATAGTAATGTAACACTCTCGTATAACTGAAACTCTGGGTATCAGGGAGACGCCCTCGAACATCGACCAAAAGATTGGATAGCTGTCCAGAAACTTCGACGCTTAGGCAACCAGAGTTACGCGGCTGTGCGTAGGTGATTATATAAGTTTGTCATGAATTAGTTGCAAGTAAAAGTAATAGATCTGACTTTAAACAGTAAAAACGATGTTTTCGTTACAATAATAATCGATTTTCTTCGAAAATTTTACAGTATGAAAGGGTGAAGTTTATGTAATGCGATATTATTGCTGTTCCTGGATCTGGCAACGTTGCCAAGACTAAACAGCATGCCATGAGTCAGCCCCCAACGCGGTTATACCTCGCTACGTTCATTGCATTTGACGCGTATGACGAAAATACTTCTCTATGTGATCCTAAGTTTTAAGGGCAAAATATTGAAAAAGACCCTCCCGCACCCCCTACAAATTTCCCAAAAATGAACACGAGTGCCTGAAACGTCAAAAATGAAGCTGGAGCGATGTTTAACAACACAGTTTTTTGCCTTAACCCCTACACATTTTTTCCCGAAAATGATCAGGAGCCTTAGAAACGTCAAAAAAAAAACTAAATGCGAGCGGTTTTTTCTCTTTTTCTCCACCGCAACTGGACCGATTTTCAAAAACTACAAAGCTCCTTTGTCCTTAGCGTAGTAGTTACCTTGTGTGAAAACTTCACGTCCAGTGGGAAAGTTCACTTTTTGATTTAGGAAAAAAATACAAACTTAATCACAAGAAACTATTTATTACTATTAACACATTCTTCATTCCTTCCAAATGTTTGCCATCCCTTTGGACACACTCTTCTAATCGCGCGCACAAATTCTCAAAGAATCTCTTGCAGAGTTCCTGAGTGATGTTATTTATTTCTCGTCGGATGTTGTCTTTAAGCTCCTCCAGTGTTCGTGGATTATTGGGATACAGGTTTGACTTTAGATAACCCCACAAAAAATAATCGCATGGCGCGAGTTCGGGTGACCTATGAGGCCATTGAGTGTCTCCAAACTTCGATATAACTTTTTCACGGTGTCCACCGATTCTCTGAAAGTATGGGCAATTGCCCCATCCTGTTGAAATCACGTGTTTCTGTTAAATCGAGGTTCTGTTCTTACAATAGGAGCAAAAAAAGTGTCATTCATATCCTTGTGTCGCTCGAAATTAACTGTCGATGCCTGTTTCACGGAATCTCTTAATCCACCTTTCAATAGGTTCTTAGTTGAGGCATCTCTTGGTCGGCGAATGTTGTATCGTGTACAAAATTTCAGAGGGGCAGCTGCGTATGAATGACCACTCTTAAAGTAAGCACGTTGCGCTCCGGTCCAGCGTTCCATTGTGACTATTTAACCTGCACACCGAACGCGTCGATCAAGACCTCTTGCCACTTCCTCCCGTATACGGTTGCCGCGAAATTAAAATTTGAAATGTGAACTTTCCCACTGGTCAAACATATTTCATTTTCAAAAAATTTCTCGATTACAATACCTCGCTAGTAGGCGTGGCAAGCAAAACACTAGGATTGAGTGTCGAATTCTTGGCGATAATTAATGGTTTATTTCCAGACGAAGTATGGCTAGAGCACAACACCGTGAAACCAGTTCCACTGGGCACCGTGATGCAGCCCAGTATGAAAAAGCGCAAGTCGGTCACCAAACTGGATAAAGCGAAAGACGTTACGAATTCGAAGCAGAGCAAGTACTGCCTTGTTGCTCAAGAACAAGACACGGATGGGGAGACTGAGACCAAGCTGTACAAAGGTGACATTGTACCCACGTGTGGTGGTGGAGCACAGGTCATTTTCAATGATGTAGAATGTCTGAGGCAGGAATCACCAACAGGCTCACCCACAAAATGATTTTCCCCGTTGTTTTAAAAGATGTTTTCTATTTCATTGTAATCCTGGTCATCTCTGCTCTACTTTGAAGTCCAAAGTATTTCAGATTGATGTTCATAAGTTTTTTACTTGTACTATGTATATTTGTCGAATTTCTAATTTATATGATTTATTTAGCAGTATTGTAAGCTTTATGAATAAAAATAAAAGTTTTTTTAACAATATGAGGCGAGAGTGAATTACGCCCTCCAAAAGTATAAATTGATATTTAACCCTCCAACTCCCATGGTTGTCGGCACGGGTATTACGTATCTTCAAAAGTGATATTTTGTCGTATTTTTCACCTTCCAAAATCAGGAAATCAAGTAGAATTGTTCGTGTACTATACTGCTAATAAATATTTACTTTCGTTTTTTTACCTTATTTCACGATTCACATCCCATCTTCAAAGAAAAAACTGTAGTGAAGTGTTTCGGAGGAATGAGATATGTGAAAACATCACGTAACATTTGTGTAATCATACTAAATGCTTCCATTACACATTCTCGTAACTGCTGCTTGGTTTCGAAACTATGCTGATAAACTTGGTTTTTAGTAAAACGGGAAATTCGATCTTGCCAAGTTTTCCGGACTTCCCCTATGCATCTTAAAAACATTCAAACATGCACAATTAAAACATTTGCCATTTTAATAAGTCACTATTCAAGTGAAATTCTCAATAATAAGCAATGAAATATATGCCACAAACCCTATTTCCCGACAAAACAACGTAAGTCTATAACAGTTTTTCGAAATATTCAAAATGTGGGACTCGTAAAGTCTTTGCAATGACAGATTCATATCTCTCCACAGCTAATAGTCCTAGAATGTTTGCCATTTAAACATACATATTTTAGTAATTTTTATTATTTCATTATTAGAATAAACCTATCGCTTCGTTCCGAACGCCCTGTATATGATATTCAAAAATACAGATTCGTTGTCTAGTGAAAATCTACGTACATGTATAAAAACAGCGTAAACAGTACGACTCTAGCCAAGCGGTAGGGAGAGTAGGAGATGTGAGGGGAAAGGAGGGGTGATTCTGCGGCAAGGTACTGCGCGGCTTCAGTCCTCGGGGTAGCGCGTCGGCGGTCGGTTAGTGCTACCAAGTCGCGTAACGCCACGCGTCTTTTGTGCCGTTCTTAAAGTTTGTTATATCATGAGGCAACGTGTGATGGTAAGTACGTTTTTACTTGCTTAGGGAGTTTGTAGTACTTGCGTGTATATATTGTTTTTTTGCATAAACCGTGTGCAACTTAACCTTGCGTTAGGCGCGTGGGGGACAGGTGTCAACCATTTTTTAAGTGCCGAATCTTTGCAAAAAAAATTTTTAATAGACAACAATGAAAAATAAATACATACAGTCAGATTCACTAATTTTTATTGATTAAATAATAGAGAAAGAACATGGACGATGGCGTCATAATACCACGCCAATCAAATCCAATCAGCGCAGATCTACATTCGTTCCTAAACAAAAGTACCAGCAAAGCTGATGGACAACTCGGTTAATTTCACTGAAAATGTGTATAGTGTTAGTTCGTGTTGTGCCGTTGAGAAACTTGTAAAAATTTTATGATTTATTGAGGTATTTAGAAAAAACTAGAATTTGGGCAAATCGTATTTATTTTTCTCTGACTTTATTTTAAGGAATATCAATAAACTAATGGAACTTTTTAGGCACTACAGGATGGTATTTTTGAATTTTGTGCCCGATGTTTCGTTTTTGAGAGACCATCATCAACTCTATTTTTTATATGGTCCGGGGTATCTGATATTAACGATGTATCGCGTGATATTTTTTTTCTTAGTTATAAAGAAAAATGTGATTTTTTTTCATTTTATTTAAGTAAAGCAATATTAACAATACTCAATAATAACAATACTCGGTGACAGGTATTTACTTCAAGTCAAACATTTGTTTGTAACGCATGCTTAAAAAAGTAAAAAACCAGGAAAAAACAAATTTTATCCTTACAACCAAGAAAATAAATAATATATGATCGTTAAATTCGTATAAAAAATGCTATTAGATACAGGGTGTACTTTTTTCGGACCATATAAAAAAATAGAGATGGTTTCTCAAAAACGAACCGTTGGGCACGAAATTTAAAAACATTATGTAGAGCTTAAAAAGTGTCAACTGAAAAGTTTCATTAGTTTTTTGATATATCAACTTAACTTTTTCTTAATTTAATTTAGGATCCTTATTGTATTAGTGATATTTATTTACTGTGAAATACAGAGAACATGAAACGAGTAAATAAATATAACTTATCCATAGAAGGACAGTGCCTGTGCATGGATCGTATGTATGTTTAATTGAAGTAGATGAACAAAGAAAGAATAGAGAAAAAACTTGTTCTCTGCATTACCAGATACATGAGACTGGTATAGTGCATTCCATTTCGACGATGGAAAAGATTTGTTTTTATGCCGCAAGGCATAAAACAGGCTAACTAGATATCGTTAGAAATCTAAAAGTCGGTAAATATTTAGACGGTACAATTTAAAAACCGGTACAATATACCAGACTTTTTCCTATATTTTTCAAACATTTTGATTCAAGTTCTACATTTCTGAAAAAATATCGGATTCAAAACTATGTTTCTATTTGTTTCAGGTCCAGTGTCCAATTGAGATGGAAAACTTAGCAGAACTAGGTGGGTTTTGTTTTCAATTGTATAGACTAAACTTTTCTAGAGCAAAATGTTAAAATAACAATCAGCAAGAAATACAGGGTGCTTCAAAGAATCACATATTTCACATGTTTCAAACTCCAAACCGTTAATTTTTCGTTTATTTTTATGGCTTTAGTTTGAGAGGCAATTTCAAAATATTTTTGTATTTGTTTCAGGTCCAGTTATAGCTGAAAGTGCAACAGTACGGCAAACTAGGTGAGCGCTTCTATTTCAAAAACTTATGTTTCAAATGAATTATTGATACTTTTTTGAGGTATAAAGACATATAAAAGAAGATAGGACAAAACGCTTGAGTAGGTATTTCAATTTTTTCTGTAAAAAAAACATGTTAAAGATATCGCAGTGCTAAGATGATTGTTGAGATATAAATCAAAACAATTGGAAATACGGTAGTGAAGAGGTTAGTGCGGAGGGCCAGTTCTTGGATATTCTGAATAAATGTTCTGAAATATGAATTTTTCTATGAAAAGTCAAAGATTTTATTTCAAGATATTATATTATATATCTTATTTTTAACGGATTATGTGAGGGTTATTATCTTGGTTTCATCAATATTTTACAAAATAATGCTTGAAGTTGAATAAAAGATGTTTTGAGAATTCATTATATCAACAAATAAAGATGATTATTATTGTTATTATTATTATTAATATTATTATTATTATCAGGATCGGATTCAGATTTCCAATTCCCTTGTATTTTAATTGCAATGCCCTGTAATTTATACTCTAAATGAATTATATTTCGCCGAAAAAGGAGCAACACACATCTTACGAGTAAGGTTATGCATCATGCTATTTAGCGTTTTCGGTATTTTTTAGTGACTCAACTGATGTTATACAACAACATGAGTTCTGCTTTAGGGGAACGGCATTTAGTATATAAATGCCCTGAATGTAGAAAATGTAGAAAAACATATATACAGGTCGGAACTCCACAATACTTTCAGAATAGTTACGTTTACGTGCTTTCACCACATCCATTCGTTAGATTTAGTAACATAATGGTACATCACACAATTAAATGTCAAGTCTGAAGCCGAATACCACGTTTTTAACTTCAAGCTGGTGTGGAATGTCAAATTTACTGCAATAATTGTAAAGTCTGCTTTTATTGATGCAAGTTTTTCAAGGAGATATTTAAAACATAAGTGCATAAAATGGGTACAGCAATTTTTGTGAGAAAACTTTTTATTCAACAAAGAAAGTTGACAGGAACGAAAAACTCTTCTGTTTAGATTTTTAGGTGTTAATGAGACCTACAGAATGAGATCACACGTAAAAATAAAAAAATGTTATGGCCGAAAACCGAAGCAAAATGCAGGTTTTGGCACTTGTTGCTAATGCGACGATAATTTCACGCAACTACTTGAAACTCTTTAAATCCGTAGGCTTCGTACTTCTAAATGATCAGGACAAAGTTAGAGTCGATTGGTCAAGTAGTTTTTGAGAATTTCTAATTGTTTATCCCAAAACACCTGTCTTAAGGTCATCACTACTAGTTTACTGAGAAATATACAGGATTCGTTCAAATGGCATTTTATAGCAAAATGCATGTGTTTACCTTGCCAACATGAATCACAAACCATTCCGAAAAATAATTGTTATTTTTGAGCGAAAAACGAAGGGTTCTGTTTTTTCTTCTTAAAAAAATCAAACATTTTGTATTTTTGGGTAATTCAGCAGATTCGCTACGATATTCGAAAAACATATATTATACAATTTTTTAAACAAAACGGATGTGTCTATCACCTTTTGTTGCGAAGAAATTGTTTCCAAGATTTCATCATACTCTTGTGAATACATATTTAGAGCTGATGAGCCTTAAAGTTTATAAAAAAAATAATAAATAATAAAACCATACTTTTTAAATATTTTGCAAACCAGTGGTATTTTCGTCTAATATGATTAGACTAAAGCAAACAAGTTGGAATCAAGTATACAGGTTATGTTACGCTGTTCTCGCACTAAGTAATCCTTGAACACACAACCTGTATGCACAATAAAAACTACCTAGTCTGCAATATGACATTTCGTCGTTTTTTTTAATGTTTTTTAGGTTCTCTACATAATAACTGTGCCGTTGTCCATTGTTGGTAGCAAGCCCAAAATTCCAGATCTTTATTTAAAAAAATTCTGACAAAATCTAAGAAAAAAAGTAAGCAGTTTAAAATCAAATAACAACTGTCCCGAAATGACTACTAAAAACGTGCTGAAAAACTGTTTCGAAATTTTGGGATATCCTGTATTAAATTGGATCAATTGTTCACTGAGAAGCAGTTCTTTCCCTGAAAATTTGAAATGCTCTACAATAACACCAGTTCCCAAAATAAAAAATTCTAAAAGATGCAGCGATATGAGACCAGTAAATGTGTTACCAGACATTGAAAAATTATTAGAGTCCATAGTGCATGACCAATTAATGCAGTTTATAGAAGAAAACAAAATTTTAGTGGAGGCGCAAGCAGGCTTTCGAAAAAAATATTCCACAGAAACAGCTTTCCAGTTGGTAACTGAGAATTGGAGAAGAGCCATAGACTCAGAAGATGTTGTCATAGCAGTATTTTTGGATTTGAAGAGGGCATTTGAAACGATTGATAGAGATA